TTATCCTAATTGATTTTAAAGAAATTTACACCTAAAATCATTTAGAAAACGTTTATAAATAATATAAATAATAACTTTTATAAGTAAAAGATATTTTTTAATTGAATTAGTGATTAAATTAATGAGAAGTTATGCGACACGTTACTGGGATCTTGGTTATGTTGAAATAAATATTTTGACATTTACATTTTAGGATTCGGAGGGTTGCGTAGTGTAGTACATATATGGTATGTATAAATTCTTTTTAGTATTAGGAGAGATTGTTTCCTTGTATTCATAGATGTGTATAGGGAGAAACTTAATAGGACATGAGTCCTGACTTTGAAACTTTTGTTGATGTTTCTGGCACATTACTGTTGAAAAAATGACAACAATTTTTAAAAAACATATTACACTTATCTATCAGGGAATGAAGTATCATGACATTCGTTAATCCGCAATACCATGTGTCTACATTTTATTTATTTTTCAAGAGAACTTAAAATGTGCCTGGTATTACTACATAATTTTATAGCATAAATGTTTTAGATTTTCAGTTTTGGAGAGAAAATAATAGTTTTGAACTAGCTGTAACCATATATTGTAAATAATAATGATATTATGTATAACAATAACGAGTGCACGTGCAGCATAACGAACTTTTAAAATATTTGAGTAAAGCGGCAATGGACCTCAAATGTGGTTTAACAAATGATAAAATAGAGTAAAATGAGAAAAGTACACTGTATGTATAACACTAGGAGTTTATTTTGCAATTATATTATCATATAAAATAAACTAGCACATTATGAAATGCTATTTTATAAGTGTTAAGTAAAATAAATAAATAATTGAACACTTTCAAGTCCCGAAAACATTTTTTAAAAAATAATATTATACAAATGTTTTTATAATACATTATTCTTATAAAAATATTTGTAACCTGGTGTGAAAATAAAACAATAACATAAAATGCGAGAATACGTGTATATCGTAGAACTTAATAAAAATATTTAAGTAAACTTCCTTACCATCGAATGTTTTCAATTTTTTAACAATTTTTTTTACGTTTTTGCTAACATTTTTGTTTATGTTTTTATCATTTTTTGTAATTTCCTGGAATGTTTCTATAAATGTTCCAATGCTATACACATGCGATGAATAACGTTTGGGTAAAAGTTCAAATACATTTTCAAATTCGGTTTCCTCAACTTTCTAATAATTAAATTAAAAAAAAAAAGAAATAAAAAGCACTTTATATAAATTATTTTATTGTATGTGATATAATTTATGTATTTTACTTTTTGATATTAAAATAATCGAACAGTGGTTTTTCGCACAAGACATCTAGAAAGTAGGACGGCTAGTTGTGCACCGCACTAGAATGCAGTCTTACCTTATCCCTTTTTAAATCACTTTTATTGAAGCGGAAGAGAAGTCAGCTGAGTGGATGACGGCTAACCTCACATCAAAAATGTAACGAGAATAGACAATAATTAAATAAAAAATGACCACTTGTTTAAGAAGTACTTCAAAGAGTATCTTAAATTTAAAGGGTAACGGGAGTCCTTTAAATACTAATGGCCGACGAAACAGCATAAAACAAAATAATTAAACTCAATAAAAACAAATAATAAATAACATTCAAAAATAATATAAACTCAGCTGAATAAATGAATTGTTGATATTGGTGAGTGGACTGTATGAGATCTTTTGGTGATGGTGTAGAACATGTGAGTATTGCGAGTAGAGTGTAGATCCAGGCACGTAGTGGCAGGTGAAAACGGACGCCGAAAAAGCGACAACGGCAATGAAGTTATTTAGTGATGGTGAGGACCCAATCAATGGTTGCGGTAAAGGGCACGAGAACTTTGAGCACAAGATTACAACAAACAAATAATAAAAATAACGGCGTACAATGGGCGAACAATTTACCATTCAAACGAAGGCGCTTGCTAAAAAAAAAGATGTCATACTGACAAATAACTTACTGAAATGTGACGATGAATTTTTTACGGATAACAATTGACACGTAGGCCATCGGAAAGTGCATAAATATGTTAACTATAAAACTTGATAGATATGAACAATACAATAAATACAAAAACCATTTTATTAAAATTTTTTGAAAAAAAACTACAAAATGGTCGTAAGGTGTATTTTTTTGTGTGTTATATTTTTAATAATTAATTTAAACACTAAAAATAAACAATATGCAACTTTTGATTAAAGAGACAAAAACAAATTATAATATTGCACAAGTAACTTTATTTTTGAATTGTCATAGTTATTGATTATTTAGACATGATATTAATTAATTATTTAACATATTAACAAATTACAGCAACACTTTCTTTCACTTTTAGCATCGATGCGAATAGGTATTAATTTTACTATTTTTTTGTATTTTTGTGTTTGTTACCACATTTTCTCAGCTCTCGCCGAACCGATTTCTTTCAACGATACGTCAAAAGATCACAATTCGTATCTAGTCAAAGACAACCTTTAAAAAAACCCAGTACAGGGGGGTCGCGGCACAGTGGTGACGTGGCATAGTTGGATCAAGTAAATGATATCTGACAGTGATTAAAATCACTATCAAAAATAAACGCTTAGATGCAAATCTTTAGATAGTGTTTAATTTTAAAAAAATGGGTGTTTTATTCCAAAAGCTACTTGATCTGCTGGTTCCTTATTAATATCCCGATTAAGATAAAGTATGTCAAATGAAAAAGGGTTTATTAAAAAATATTATTTGTCATAAAAAAATTGTGTGGATCCATAAACTTTTCAATAAGTTATAGCATTATAAAGTTAAATATAATATAAATAATAAAATCGAGAATTTTCACACGAAAAAAGCATTCGGTAGCCATTTTTGCCATGAAGACAAGTCCAGAGGTCAAATTTTTTTTTTTCAAATTAAAGTATATTACATTAGCTTTAATTTAAGATATATATAAAAGTGTCAGACCTTCCGGAACATTTTCAAAAGTTATGTTGAAAAAGTAAATTTTTTGTGAAAAAGTTGTCATTTTAAATCCCCCCCTGTGGGCAGGTTAAGTGTCAGATTTACAAAAAAAATATACCAAATGATAAGTAAAGACATCAAGCATCTATATAAAAAAAAATTATATTGATATGTTCATTTTTGAAAAAGTTAGAGCATTATTAAGTTAAAAATATAAAAAAAAATTATTTTACAAAAATCGTAATTTTTTATTAACTTTGATGTCAACTTTCACCACGAAGACAAGTCCAGAGGTCAAATTTTTTTTTTTCAAATTAAAGTATATTACATAAGCTTTAATTTAAGATATATATAAAAGTATCAGACCATCCGGAACACTTTCAAAAGTTAAGTTGAAAAAATTAATTTTTTTGTGAAAAAGTTATCATTTTAAATCCCCCTCTGTGGGCAGGTTAAGTGTCCGATTTACAAAAAAAATATACCAAATGATATGTAAAGACATCAAGCATCTAAATAAAAAAAAATTATATTGATATCTTCATTTTTGAAAAAGTTAGAGCATTATTAAGTTAAAAATATAAAAAAAAATTATTTTACAAAAATCGTAATTTTTTATTAACTTTGATGTCAACTTTCACNTTCTTTAACTTTGATGTCCGTTTTCACCACGAAGACAAGTCCAGAGGACAAATTTTTTTTTTCAAATTAAATTATATTACATAAGCTTCAATTTAAGATATATATAAAAGTGTCAGACCTTCGGAACACTTTCAAAAGTTAAGTTGAAAAAGTTCTACTTTCCATATGCAATTTTTATATTTGAAGCCCCCCCATATATAGGGAAATAGTCTGATTTAAAAAAAAAGTATATCCAAAGAAAGATGTATATAAATACTACTTTTCATGAAAAAATTGTATTGATCCATATATTTTTTAAAAAGTTATAGCACTTTAAAGTAAAAAATGTAAATTATAAAATCGA